TGGGGTGGGAAATGGTCAGCCTGGCATCCCTGCCCAGGTGTCTGATGCTCCCGACCAGGAAAGGCTAAATCTGGGGCGTCTATTCTGTCCCTGGGCCCATAAATCTGGAAGGTTTTTTTTTTTAACGTGCTCAAGCAAATGGGTTAAATTGGAGAAGCGAAGCCAGGCCAGGGAGCCTTCCCACTCAGGTCAGGGATGAGGGTGGTCCTAGGCTCGCTGACCTCAGCACTCCCCAGGAGCACCTGCTCTCCATGAGAACCAGCTCCCCCAAATGGGTGGATGGCCTGTAAGAGGCCTTGTGCCCCTCCCACAGCTCAGTGACAAACAGACCCCGGTGCTCAGGTTTTGAGGGCAACGTCTATTTGTTTTAAAATCTCCCAAAAGAACTTTTAACAAACTTGGAAGGGAAGGTGAGCCTGGGGAGAACCGGTCTTGGAGAGAGGTTTGAATCTTCAACCTTTAAAAAAAAAAAACACACAACAACAACTTCGAATGGCCCACCCTAGTAGCAGCGTGGAGGTAAAATAGGTTTGCTATTTTCCAGCTGCAGTGTGATGGGGAAACTGCCTCTTAGATAGTGGCAGCCTGGGGGGGGCGGGGGGCGTTCAATCGGGGTGCCTGCAGTAGCCCAATTAGGAAGAAAGATCATGTGTGTGTATTGGGGTGGGGGTGCAGTTTTGTAGACCCATCACTGACCAAATGTGAGCCAGGAGGTCCAAGTTCTGGTCTGGGGCTCAGCCTCAGCGTGACCTTGAACAAGACACCTCCCTGCCATGCAATCGTTTGGGCATCTTTACAGCCATCCCCGGCCTGGCCTTCCAGCCCCGACCACTGTGGTCCGCCTCTCCTTTCTTCCAGGACACCACAGACCATACCTGAGCAAGGGGCCCATTGCACAGGAATTGACTCAGGGCTCCAGCCCAGGCACTGAGCGGTCACCCTGGGAGTACAGGCTATGGCCAGATTGACCCCGCAGGGCACCTCTGTCTTCTCCATCCCAACAGAAAGCCTGCGAGCACACTCATCACATACCCAAGGAATCCTGACTCTCCACGAGGAAGCCATCTGCCCCCAACAGATTCTATGGCCAACTCAGCTCCCGGGTCACACTCGGCGTCAGGGAGCTCAAGTTCAGTGGCAGTCGGCAGGCTGCGGGCTGGGGCACCTCTGAACTGGTGGCACCGCTAAGCCCCAGCCGGGATCTCTGCAGCAACGTGGCTCCGAGGTTGCAGGATTTACCCCAAAAGCTCTAGACCGCACCCCAGCTGCGGGGACCTGCAGCACCCAAGCTAAGGTCCTGCGGAGCAATCCCTGACCTTACCAACCGCGTGTCCCCAGCCAGCCAAGCAATCTTTCTTTACAAACCGTCATAAACATTTTATTTACAAGTGTGTGGCATCCGAAGTGCAGTGCGTCTCTGCCACCCCTAGAGCGGGAAGGAACCGTGGAGTCACACGTCGCGGTGTGAGCGGCTCTTATCCCGGGAGAAGCGTCCGTTGAAGTGTCCGTCGGGGGGGTGGGGGGCACGGAGACTCCCCAGGCCACTGGGCAGTGTGGGCTGTGCCACCAGGCGGCCAGCAAAGGGCAAAACGCGAGCGTCCCGCGGTATCTCCGGCCGGTGCCACCTTCAAGTGGGCACAAGATCCAGCCACGTCGGAAGTCCGGGCGTCCGCACGCAGGGCCTGGGTCCCCTCCGCCCCGTCCAGTCTATAGGCCTCCAAGAGGCGGCTGGGCGGGCTCCGGGCTTTTGGGAGCGCTGCTGAGGGTGGGCTGGGGCGCAGGGAGCAACTCTGGAGCGACGTCGCTGCCAAGGCTACTGGAGATGCCCGCGCTGGGGGCGCCGCTGCCGCCGAAGCTGAAACTGCCGCTGGCCCCGCTGCTGGCGGGGAGGAGCGCGCCGGCCGCCGAGGCCTTGATGACCGTGGTTTGGTGCGGAGACCGCTCGGCCCCCTCAGTCCGCTCCGTGTCGCTGGGGGCCATGTCCAGAGACTCAGAGTCGCTGCTGTCGCTCTCGGCCTCGCCCTCGGAGCGGCTGGGGCTCCGCTCCTCGTGATCACCGTCCACAGCCGGGGCTCCCCCCGCCGGCTTCTCGTCGGCCTCCTTGTCTTTGTCCTTCTGGGCCTGGGCCTCCTTGGAGTGCCGCCACTTCATCCTCCGGTTCTGGAACCAGACCTTCACCTGCGACGCACGGGAGACAGGCAGGGAAACGGAGGTGAGACGCGGGCTCGCTGCGGGGCGNTGCAGGGGGGGAGGCGACCAGAGGCTGCCCCGGGACGCACGAGATCGCCAGGGATCCCCCCGCCTAAGAGACGCACTAGGCCTGGTTTTCCAGACGCGGCTGGCCAGACCTCCAGCCTGAAATGACAGGGATACTGGTTGGAAAGGCCGATTCCTGCACCTGGCCTGCAGACAAGGGAGGGTCTCCGCTCTAAATCGATGCCCCCTTAACCCACCTGAGTCAGGGCCCTCCCAAGAATCTGACTGACTCCTGGACCAGAGAAATGCACCCATTCCCAAGGTTTTGCACAGCATTTCAAGGGTTTGGTGAACCGACGTTAAGAATTCCTGCTAAGTGGCCCCCCTCCTCAGGCAAGTCCCTACAGAAGCAATTCTTTTTAGGAAGCACAGAGGGGAAAGGGGGTTCACAGAGTTGATCCCAGCGGGGTGGGGACACCGCTGGGCTTTGGGGTGGATGAGCGTCTCCTTGGCCTATGTGCATCCAGAAGCTGGTAAGGACCCATCCGCTGCCCAGGATAGGCTAATGCCACTGTGGGCTCAGAAAACGCTGGGATTAAACCTGTGCGTAAGGGATAAGGGGGGTTAGGGATGGGGCGGGGAATCTATATAAATATATACGATCCCCTGGGGGACCCAATGCATTCACACAAGTTCCAGCTTCCCTTTTAAAAATAACATCCACAGCTGGTGGAAAACGGCTGGTCTCCTCCAGTGTGTGTGCTGAGGCGGGGAGTTGTGCAATGGAGGGCAGAAAGGCAGAGATGGGGGGGGGTGCGGTGAACCTAAAGGAGCCATTAAAAAAAAAAAAAAAGTGCCTGCCTTTGGCTTCTGCCCTCCTGAGAACACTGGGTACCCAGGAAGCAAGGGCCGCTGCTGTGGGGTGTGGCAGAATGGGGACTCTCTTCTAGTTTCAAAACTCAAAAAGAAGAAAAAATGCCCAGTTCTTGAATTTGAGAAAAAGAAAGAGAGAAAAAAAAAAAACTAGGGCGTTGAAGTCGGGCATGATAGATTTGTCATGTTCTTGAAAAGCATTCGTGGACGCAGGACCCAGGACCTGCTGGATTGCTCCTAGGCCCTCTAAGAAATATTTTTTTCTTTCTCTCTCTCACCC